ATGTAAGAAGTAGAAAGTACAGGTATTTGTGTTCAACATGTAAGAAGTAGAAAGTACAGGTATTTGTGTTCAACATGTAAGAAGTAGAAAGTACAGGTATTTGAGTTCAACATGTAAGAAGTAGAAAGTACAGGTATTTGGGTTCAACATGTAAGAAGTAGAAAGTACAGGTATTTGTGTTCAACATGTAAGAAGTAGAAAGTACAGGTATTTGTGTTCAACATGTAAGAAGTAGAAAGTACAGGTATTTGAGTTCAACATGTAAGAAGTAGAAAGTACAGGTATTTGTGTTCAACATGTAAGAAGTAGAAAGTACAGGTATTTGTGTTCAACATGTAAGAAGTAGAAAGTACAGGTATTTGTGTTCAACATGTAAGAAGTAGAAAGTACAGGTATTTGTGTTCAACATGTAAGAAGTAGAAGTACAGGTATTTGTGTTCAACATGTAAGAAGTAGAAAGTACAGGTATTTGGGTTCAACATGTAAGAAGTAGAAAGTACAGGTATTTGGGTTCAACATGTAAGAAGTAGAAAGTACAGGTATTTGGGTTCAAAATGTAAGAAGTAGAAAGTACAGGTATTTGGGTTCAAAATGTAAGAAGTAGAAAGTACAGGTATTTGTGTTCAACATGTGAGAAGTAGAAAGTACAGGTATTTGGGTTCAACATGTAAGAAGTAGAAAGTACAGGTATTTGGGTTCAACATGTAAGAAGTAGAAAGTACAGGTATTTGGGTTCAACATGTAAGAAGTAGAAAGTACAGGTATTTGGGTTCAAAATGTAAGAAGTAGAAAGTACAGGTATTTGGGTTCAAAATGGAAGAAGTCAAAGTAAAAAGTCGTCAGAAAAATAAGTAGTGGAGTAAAGTACTGATACCAGAAACATGTACTTAAGTGCAGTAACAAATGTGTACTCCACTACTTCCCACCTCACTGTACTGCAGGAGGTACCCAGACCCTAAGGAGAGAGAAATAAAGAGGTTCTGCTGTGGGTTTCCCTCTCCTGTAGGTCTATAGCTTTTAGTGCATGTAAATGGTCTGCAAAGGCTAAAATCCCCATGTTCCCTCCAGAGGGAGTTGCACACCTGCCTCGAAACGCCTCCATTGGACTCCTTTGTTTACCGTATCGACCCGAATATAAGACAGGTTTTGTTTCCTAGAGAAATCTGAAAAAGAGGGGTCGTCTTATATTCGGGGTCTAGACTGTTCGATGTAATTACACAGTCACAACAACAGATTGATTGTTCAAACGAGTGTTTCCCAAAGAGAGACACCGTCTTAAAGTAACAGTTCAACAGGAGAGAGAGAGATGGAGAGACACAGAGACCAACTCCAACAAAGTGGATCTAAAGTAGACAAGGTAATAAACAAGAGAGGAGAAGTTACGATGCCCATTTTAAGATAATGGTGATCAACGAAGTCATCAAACATCTGTCGAGCAGCAAAGAAATATGGAGTTACTGAGTGTGACATTAGAAGATGGCGAGCCCAAAAAGACCGCCTTAAAAATGTAAATAGTCAGAGAAAATGAAGTCGTGTCAGGACATTCACTTTGCTCTTAAAAGTTTAGACTTCAGGAGGAGATGTCACGGAGTTGGAAGCTTTGAAAAAGAAACAGCGTAAGCAGGGATTCATCAGAAAGTCCGGTGAAGCCCGAAGAGTTAAATTATTGATTTTTCAATTAGAGATTCCCTCTGCCCGTCTCCCAACAAAATGAGTAAAATCCTCCGACGTTCAACGATTAAGTGGAAACACTAACGAGACACGCAATTAATCAATTTCTAGATCGCTCTTAGAGTGTTCTGAGGTCGGATAAAGAGTGTGTTTCCTCTAAATTAAGTCTGTGTTTGGTTTAGTTCAGTTAGTGATTGTGCACATGTGCATCTCATCCAATGTATGCTATGTCTTCGGTGTATTTAAAGGGGACCTATCATGCAAAATGCACTTGTGTACGTCTTTTCTACATGAATATGTGTCCCCGGTGTTCCAGGGAACTCACCAAGTGTCAGAAAACACAACCCTCTCTATTTTCCTCCATACCCAAATCTCTAAAAAAGGGGCTGCAACGGATCTGATAAAAACTGATCCAGATTTGAACACTGTCCTGACGTCAGGACGGTGGCGCTACGGCTATTGGGCCAACTCCACCAATCAGGAGGAGACAGCCACGGCCATTGCCGTTCGAAAGTGCTGGAGACGCTGTAGTACATATGCCAGGCCTGTAGATGGTGCTGTTCTCACAGAATCAGCCCTTGCTAAAACAGAGCTAGAAATGTCAAATTGAGCGAAATGAGGCATGGCTAAAATGCATGATCTGTTTGGTATTTTGAAAAAAAAAAAGTATAAATATGCCTTATATAGGTATGGTCCTACACTATATTATTCAAATATAGCATGATAGGTCCACTTTAAGACACTGCAGGATAACTAAATACAGGTGGGAGAAGTGTTTTGATTATAATTATTGATGCATTAAAGTGTAACTTAAATGTACATGGTTACTTCCCACCGCTGATAAATGTAATCTATATTTAACGGAAAGTGTTTCAAATATTGAAAGAGTCAAATTTGATAAAAGTGTTGTCATACTTGTTGTTTCATCAGCTCCCCTGTTTGTGCCTGACATATTCATTATTTTCCTAATTAAGGATCATTAATAACCCCCCCACCCCCCCAACAATCCCCATCTATTTCAGTTGCGTAACCTTTAACCCATTGATGACGTCACTACACGTGTTTTTCGGCGTCAGCGGAAGTAGCTGTCTGCAGCTGGAGCAGCTCAGGTCAACTTTAGAGTATAACACCTTTAAGAAAAGGGCTAACTCATATGTTACGTTTTTTTAATGATTTCTTAAGTAGTTATATTGTTGGTGTTGTTGTTGTTGTTGTTGTTTAGCAGCTGTTTATATTCTACAGTCTTTTAGTAAGTGCAGCTTTAAACCCATGCTGCAGCAGGTGGAGCTTTAGGCTCAGATCTTGAGTGATCGTTTATTGAAGTGTGATGGTGTGCATGCATTCTTATGATACTATATTCTCATATTTTTGACATTATAAGGTCTTAAAATGTCAAAAATATAGTTTATTACAATTATTTCTGGGACAGTGTAACACTTTACTTTAAGGCTATATTTATTTCTAATGATTTACTTTTAGTTATGGTAACACTATAGTAGAATATTTGTGATTCTTGTACCTTTACTGTTACTGAAGTATAGTAAGAGTGTGTGTGTGTGTGTGTGTGTGTGTGTGTGTGTGTGTGTGTGTGTGTGTGTGTGTGTATGTGTGTGTGTGTGTGTTTATATATTATAATATTTTCCTTAAGGCTTTCTTATATATCCTTAACTCTAATTTACTGTAGTAGAGTATTTTTCAATTGTAGTTTCCATCTCTGATAACGACTGTGTGTGTGTGTGAGTGTGTGTGTGTGTGTGTGTGTGAGTGTGTGTGTGTGTGTGTGTGTGTGTGTGTGTGTGTGAGTGTGTGTGTGTGTGTGTGTGTGTGTGTGTGTGTGTGTATGCATGTGTGTGTGTCTCTCTCTCTCTCTCTCTTCATATGCACTTGACACAGGCGCGTACGCGTGTGCATGACGGTGCATATTACACCCTCGTGCCCGCGCCTCCCTACATCTGTTTACACGCGTGTTTTCATCCCGCGTGAAAACACGTCAGCAAGGTGTCTATCCGCGTGCACGGGCGTGAGTGTGCGCGGGCACGTAGCGTCTAGGTTGCTGATGAAAACCTCTCTCTCTTTCTCTCTCTCTCTCTTTTTCTTTATTTTAATCTATCTCCCCCCCCCCCCCCCCCCCCCCCCCCCCTATGTCCGGTCCCTCTGCGGGTGCATGGAGGAAAATGGAGCCATGCCCGGGGGAGAGCTGCCGGTAAGAGTCGGTGCAGGGAAGCTGGTTCCTCGATATGAGTGTGTGTGTGTGTGCACTGCGTGTGTGTATGTGAGGGGAGGCAGAGCGATGAATGCTCTTTGTCTCGCCTCTGAGTGTGTGTGTGTGTGTGTGTGTGTGTGTGTGTGTGTGTGTGTGTGTGTGTGTGTGTGTGTGTGTGTGTGTGTTTGGAGAGGAGGTGAGTTGAAAAGCCCCTTTTTGGGGGATTATTAATTGATTTATTGATTGACAGGTGTTTTATCGCCTCTTTATCCACTGAAATGTTCCCACAATGCAACAGTAGGAGCGTATATTTGTGAGTTTATAACCACTTTGTGTCTCCTGTGTTTTATTTATGCAGTGGTTTTAGAATCAGGGCGTGGATTGTGTGTTTTCTTTAATGCTGCTGCGGCTTTTACGCACCGTGTGTGCTCCAAAACACGCACCAGATTCCGATGGTTTCCCAAAATAAAGCATCTCTCTCCCTCTCTCTCTCTCTCTCTCGGTCTCTGTATCTCTCTCCCTCTCTCTCTCTCTCTCTCTCTCTCTCTCTCTCTCTCTCTCTCTCTCTCTCTCTCTCTCTCTCTCTATCCCCCTCTTTCTTTATGCATCTCTCTCACTGTCTAACATGTTTTTATCTTTGGTAAAAGCAAGAGTGAGTGTAGATTTTAGAGTTCACTATCTGATGAGAAATATGAAGAGTTTTTAAACCGGTGGTGTTTCACTACTGTGTGCTCTGTGGGTGTGTGTGTGTGTGGGGGGGGGGGGGGGGGAGCTCGGGTTTAACTCTAAAAAAAACAGTCTAAAAAATAAAAATCTTCTCTCAATGTCTAGCTAAATAAGCTCATTGTTGTTGAACAATCTAAATAAAAGTGTTTTATAAAAATCAATCTCTCTCTCTTTCTCTCTCTCTCCGTCTCTCTCTCTCCCTCCATCCATCCTCCTCCCCCTTTCTCTCTTTCTCTCTCCTTCTCTCTCCTTCTCTTTCTCTCTCTTCTCCAGTCAGTGTGCTGAGCTCCACCACATCCTTACATGACCTGAGGAAGGTGTGTGTGTGTATGTGTGTGTGTCTCCGGATCCCTCGCGCGGACCATGGCATGCTGCCCCTCCCGGTCCTCGTGCACTGACCATGGGGCTCCGGTCCAGGACAAACGGCGGCTCTGAGGAGAAAAAGAAGCCGAAAAGCGACGCTCCTCCCGGGGATACTTTGGACCGGGATGGGCTCCTGGTGGCCGGTTCTTCTACCGGAAAGGAGCGGGGATTTCAGCCGGGAATCGGTGTCGGACTGCTGGCTAAAACCCCGCTGAACTACAGCCGGCCGGCCAAGAGGACTAACATCCGGAGGAGGAAGATCCAGACCCTGCTGTACGCCGCGCTGGAGAGGCCGAGAGGCTGGGCGCTGCTCTACCACGCCTTCGTGTGAGTAACAAAGATAAAGAGGGTTTTTACAACTTGAGGATGAACCTGTGAAGCTGAGGATGAAGAGGTTGTTGTTAGAGGAGCCAAATGAATCAAAGGGCGAGCTGTATGTTTGTTTCGTTGTTTATTCTGCTCTGTGTTTTAAGTGTTTTGAATTTGGACTATTTTGCGAAAATCTTTAAAAAGTAGAAGTAGCCTACTCAGATCTTGTACTTCAGTAAAAGTAGGAGTACTCAGAGCTTGTACTTGAGTAAAAGTAGAAGTACTCAGATCTTGTACTTCAGTAAAAGTAGGAGTACTCAGATCTTGTACTTCAGTAAAAGTAGGAGTACTCAGAGCTTGTACTTCAGTAAAAGTAGAAGTACTCAGATCTTGTACTTCAGTAAAAGTAGGAGTACTCAGATCTTGTACTTGAGTAAAAGTAGAAGTACTCAGATCTTGTACTTCAGTAAAAGTAGGAGTACTCAGATCTTGTACTTGAGTAAAAGTAGAAGTACTCAGATGTTGTACTTAAAGTAAAAGTAGTGGAGTAGAAGTACAAGATCGGAGTAGGGGATGTTAGAGGAGCCTAATGAATAAAAGGGCAAGATGCACATTTCTGTTTCTGTTGTTTATTCTGCTCTGGGTTTTAAGGTTTAACTTGTAAGGTTTAGATTTGGCTGCCGGGTTGCAGAGGTGGAAGAAGTACTCAGATCTTGTACTTGAGTGAAAGTAGAAGTACTCTGCTTCACAGCAGACACCTCACAGATGCCTTGTGTGAGTAAATCAGACGTAGAGGGTATGCACATTGTGTAACTCATGTTCATCCTGCTCTGTGTCGATGACTCTTTGTGGGGATTTTGGATAATTAGTCGTTTAAAATGTTTAAATGTTGTATGTGAGGGACTACGGATGGAAACTAGCTCAAAGCTAAAATCCGGCATGTTTACGTTTTTAAAGCATTATTTATTTTAAATGTTCATCAATGTGCATTAGGGCTGTGCAATTAATCGTATTAATGTGCCTGCCACAATTACGAAAACAACATAATCGAAAAAAACAATTATTTTGCTTTGCTAGGTTGTGACAGTGCACTGCAACATATTTGATCTAATTAATGTTGGTCTCATTTATTTGTATTTATCATATTTATATATGTTTAGTAGCTTGGGGAAGTGCGCTCCAAAATATTTGTTGATCTTGTTTATTGGTATTTATTATTTTGATATTATTTATTTAAATGTATCATTTATTTTTGTATTGGTTTTTCAGTTGAATTATACCTTCAGGGAAATCAACAGTTAAAAAGATACTGTTCAAATTATTATTTGTATTTGTTTTAAAGTTCAATAACTTGATTTTTTCAAAGTCAATGAATAATCGTATTTAATAATCGTGATATCAATTATTGACCCAAATAATCGTGATTATGATTTTTGCCATAATCGCACAGCCCTAATGTGCACTGTCCCTCTTCAAATAAACGATTAAATGAAAAAAAAATGGAAAAAAAAATGCTAGGTTTTGGTGCATTTGAAACAGTAGGAAGTTATAATAATCTTTATTTTGTATAGCACCTATCATACAATAAGTGCAGTTCAAAGTGCTTCACAGCAGACATCTCACAGACACCGTCGTGTGAGTAAAACAGATAGAGAGGGGTCAGAACTTGTGCAGCTGAGGATGCAGAGGATGCAGAGGATGCAGAGGATGCAGAGGATGCAGAGGATGCTAGAGGAGCACGACTGTACAATAGTAAAAGGGAAAGCTGCAGATGTTTGTTTTGAATGTTCATAGTGCTCTGGGTTTAAAGGTTTAAATGTGGCATTGACTGCTGGGTTGCAGATGTGAAGAAGAACATGGAGATGTTAGAGGAACCCAAAGTAATAAAAGGGCGAGCTGCAAAACTGTTGTTGCTTTTTAAATAAATAAATGTCTGGCATAAGTTGACTTAGTGCTGCTGTACACAGTGTGTAAAGTAACTGAGTATATTCACTACTTTTACTTGAGTAACATTTTGAATGCAGGACTTGTACTTGTAACAGAGTATTCCTACACTCTGGTACACGTTACCTGCTGCACTTTGAACCCTGACATGTTGAGGACCCCAAAGTGATATAAATGTACAGTAGGGTCCCCAGCTCATAGAAGCTGCCGGATGCTAACCTGCTTGTTGGGCTATTTGCATAAGTTGCATTAATTAGCCTTGTTGACAATAGTTAAATAATGGCTTGGCTGATTTGGACAGTTTGGGAGTGGTTTTGGGAGTTATTGAGGATGCCAAGTCCATTTCAGAAAGTGGACATATCTGTCCTCTCTGTGGGCTGATGGTGACTGAGACCATTCGAGAGCACAAGATAAAGATTATAATATCCACACTGTCGAGGGTTTTCTTTCAAATAAATAAGCAACCTGTCCAATCCAAATGATCCAGAGTCCCCAATACATCACAATCAGTCCAATTCCTCCTCCTCAGTATTTCTCTTCCCATCTTCTCCATTTTTATTGTTCAATGCCATATCTTTTTATGCTGCTGCAACACACAAGTACTTCTTATCTTATCTTATCTAAAGGCATCAGCACAATGCTTCAGTTTTAAGAAGATGCTGATAGTGTACGGCTAACTGCTGTGTGTCAAAGTTTAGCATACTTCCCATATCATATAAAACTAAGGCACAGGATTCTGAATAGCAGCAGCTTCAGATCAGGTGTATCAGACCCAGGTTTGTGTTTGGTTTTAAGTAAGATATTTGTGTTTGAAGGAGTGCAGCAGTGCATGCTGGTCATTATATTTGTGATGAATCAGCTGATGGAGCTCTCTGTCAGTCCATTACTGTCCGTCTGTAACCTAATGATGAAGCTCAATGAATAGCTTCCTCACACACACACACACACACACACACACACACACACACACACACACACACACACACACACACACACACACACGATTTTCGGTTAATTAGTCGTTTTAAATGCTGGGTTTTGGTGCATTTCAAACAGCAGGAAATAATAATAATAATAATCTTTATTTTGTATCATCATTCGTACAATAAGTGCAGTTCAAAGTGCTTCGCAGTAGAACAGTGATATCACATAGAAGACAGTTACCAGTAAAAGACGTACAAACAAACTAAAAATAGCGTAGAGTAGACATGTAAAAAATACATTTACTGTAGGTTAAAGGTACGATGAAATTGAGCATTTCAAGGAGGATAGTTCAAATGCATTCCTTCCTCAGGTGAGAGGTTGAAATGCATCAGAGAGCAGGAGCTTCCTAAAAGGCTAGAATGTACGAATATATTTTGAGTTTTGTTTAAAGACTGATGTCTAAAGGTATTTTGTTCCATAGCTTCGGGGCATATGAAAGCTGCTTCACCAAACTTCTGTTTACCTCTGGGAACTTCTAACAAACCATCAGCAGAGAAATGCCGTGTTTTTGACGAGGATGCACAACAGACTGAAAACACATCTGTTCCTCTGCTCCTTGTCTAATAATAAATAACTCTCTCTTCTGTAAAAGAGCTTTCTTATCGCTACAGATGGAGCCTCTTATTTTGGACCCCAGCATACAGCTTCCTGCCGACTGCCAGCCAGTTGCCAGCCAGTTGCCTGCCAAAGACCAGTATTCAGGAATGTTAGGCCCTCCCACTATTCTCCAATTTCAGGGTTTAACCAGGAGATGGCGCTATATATTAAATAACTAAGACTTAGTTTTTCACAATAGAAAATGCAGATATTATATAAAAAACTAAAGTTAAAATCTTGTTTTTAATGCCCCAAGAGCAATAACATCTTGTCACAAGCTTTTTGGAAGAAAAAGACTGACTCAAGAGACCTGTAGTTGACTAATTACAGGCCTCAATAAAGTTCTGCCATTGGTTGTGAAAAACAACGGTGGACATAGTGGAAAGTGAAATTGACATTGTCGAATTTAATAAAAATACAAAATAATGTATCTGTGTACGTGTTTTACTATGTGATCTGCACTTATCAAACATCTAATTAAGGCGAGACACCCCAGGTGAATAGGGTATTTTTAACTTAAAGATATCAGCTAAATATTTCTCCAGTTAATTACTTACAATAAGGCAATTGTTTTTTGTATTACAAGTTTTCTGAAATAGCATGTTTAAATATCCAAATGAACCATTATCTCATGAAATATGCGCATATTTTAACACATTTCAGGAACCGAAATCTGAACTTTGGATAAAGCCAGGATCAAAATTATTGTTTCATTTTGTAGTCATATTAGTATCTAAGGCTTTTACAGAAGGGATTTTGGATATCTCTTTGTATCACTCCATAAATCAGAAAATACTGTCAACAGCCCTAAAATATCAATTTTCACCATGTTTTTAGGTATAAAATGTTATATAATTCAGGCTATGAATTATATATGACCAAACCCTTCTGTAAAAGCCTTCATAATATTGATAGGAATATAACTGGAAAGTTTGGTGTATGTAACTGCTGAGTGATTCTACAATTTAGGGTACATTCCATGTCCATTGATGTCCATTGATGATAATTATAATTATTCTAACTATTTTCTTCAAAAATATCATATTTTGCCTATTATTGGAAAGCATGTTATAATATCACACAAACATTATGTGCATCCTATGCTTTATTTAGCTTGAAATGTGTCATGATGTTCTTAAATTGTCAGTTTTTGCTATGTCCGTTTTTCAGTTGAGGGTGTCTTGGATTCAAAATAATGAATAAAAACCATTAAAGTAAATTTAAAAAATGATTCATTTATTTCAAAAGTCTAAATACTAAAGAATAATAACATATTTTTAATTGATTTCCCCCTTTAAATAATTTAAATATCTTAATATATGAATGTCCGCAAAAGTTCTGTCAACTATGTTACTAACAGAACTTCCCCCTTTAACTCAAAAATGGTTTGTCCCAATACCATGTCACCAGCATCACATGATGCCATGTTCCTCTTTGGCACACATTTTGAACACACTGTGGTGATTGTCCTCTACATTTTTACAATATTTTAT